GTAGCAGACGAATAATACTTTTAAAAATACCAAAGCTGGTTTAAATGTCAAACTCCACGAGATTACAGGTGAGTCAAATATTCATTGGTTGATCGCTGTTATGCTGATCTACCCCTGCGAGTAGAAAATTTCCCGAAAAATCCACTATTTTTAGGGGTATTTGTTTTGAAAGAGCTCGTGACTCATGTGCATCACCATTATGATCCAAATATTCAAGATATAGTCTACGTCATTGTGGAATATTATTGACATCAGCAAACCTTTATAAGAATGACATAAAGTTTAACAACTGAACTACCTTTGTTTATCTGATATGAGTGCTTGGTCACAAGACTCGACAGTTAAAATACTGCCGTAACACTAACATCGACATTCGGGTCACAATTTCCAATTTTCGTTCGTCTCACTGCTATATTCAGCACAATCTGACACTGCTACTTTGAAGTGGGAGCAAAGTTTTGCTGATATCTCCAAAACACAAAATTTAAATAGAAAGTGATTGTTTTTTGATGATGATGGTGTGCAGACCAACCTCACAAGTAGCCTACTAGTAAGTCTTTTTTTTTAAAGTTAGTTTCCTGTTTGTGTAGATTGTTTACTAGTAATCAAGGAGTTATAACAGACTGTTATAACTCCTTGCTAGTAATACAAGTAACAATACATGTGTATGAGCATTTAGCTTTATGCTTATGGGACATGTTTCTCCAGAAACGAAATGTGCTATTTAGCACTGGATTGTAAATGAAGAATTTGTACTCCCATTTTTTCTTGCTTTTTATTACAGTACAGTACATGTACATTACTAATTTCCATGCCCACATCTCTTTCCAGAAAACCATTGACATATTGATCACCAAGACTACTTTAAGTTGGCAGTCAGTGTGCAAACTAGTCAAAAGGTGTCGCCTATCAAGATAATGGAATCAATTATAAAATGTATTCAACTGATACATCTGTTGGCATTTAATTTTGATAATCAAACCAAAACATATATTTGTTGAATAATCTAAGGCATCATCATAGTGCATTATTTTTTGAAAGTCACGTGGCTCTGACAACTGTCAACTTCTGCCATCCTTTCGGGAGGTCAGTACTCGTACTGTTTGGATGTAGAGGAATTAGCAAAGCTGGTCTAAATGTCCAAGAGCTTACAGGTAAGTCAAATATTCAGCTTATTGTGCTTATTGGTTGATGTGATACTGATCACTGTTATGCTGATCTACCCCTGCGAGTAAAAAAATTCCTGATAAATCCACTTTTTTTAGAGGTAGACCTACATGTATTTGTTTTGAAAGGGCTCCGGCTCCTCAGTCCTGTGCATCACCAGTATGATCCTAATTTCCATTCAAGATATAGTCTACGTCAATGTGGAATGTTATTGACATCAGTAAACCCTCATAAGAATGACACAGAGTTTTGCAAAGTTCTGCCTTTTTTATGAGTGCTTGGTCACAAGACTCGACAGTTAAAATACTGCCGTAACACTAACATCGACATTCGGGTCACAATTACCAGTTTTCGTTCATCTCACTGCTTTATTCAGCTTAATCTGACACTGCTTCTTTGAAGTCGGAGCAAAGTTTTGCTGATATTTACAAAACACAAAATATAAGTAGACATGTATTGTTTCTGATGATGATGGTGTATTGACCACTCTCATGAGTAAGTCTTTAAAAAGTTGGAGTTTCCTAATTGTGTAGATTGTGTACGGAATGCTAGTAACATTGTACATGTCTGTGAGCATTTAACTTTATGCCTATTTGACATTTCTCCACAGAAACCAAATGTACTGTTAAGCACTAAATTGTAAATGAAGAATTTGTTCTTCATTTTTTCTTTCTTTTTATTACAGTACATTGCTAATTTCCATGCCCACATCTCTTTCCAGAAAGCCATTGACATAGTCACCAAGGCTGTAAAAGAAGACGAGAAAAAGAATTATGAGGAAGCCTTGAGGCTGTATACGCATGGTGTGGAGTCCTTTCTCCATGCAATTAAATGTATGCAGATTGAAATTTTGTTTTTTTAATCAAGTTTCTTTGTAAAATTGCAGCATATTAAAACATTAAAATTCAAATGTGTTGACTCTCTGGTGCTATTTATACAAATTACTGTTTGGTTAAATTTAAAAGCTTTCACTGATATGTTCATTTACTAATTTAAAGGGTTGAAAATTTTCCATACTAACAATCTTGGGTAGTTCCAGTAATACTAGGAGGTGATTTATTCTGATTTCAGATGAGGCAGATAGTGACAAAGCCAAGGAAAGTATCAGAGCTAAGTGTATTTTATATTTGGACAGAGCAGAGAAATTAAAACAGCATGTCAGTGGCAAGAAGCAGAAAGCAGTAAAGGATGGCAGTAGTGGTGGAAATAAAAAGTAATGAAAATCCATTTATTTATGATTTTTAGAATATTTGTTTGTTTTATTTTACATTTATTATTGTTTTTATTTTTGTTTGCTTTATTTATTTTAAATGGAAAACTATTTTCCAGTTTTTTTTTTATTTTTCAAATATTTTTCTTTTATGTTACACTTTGAAACATAATAAAAAAGAAAAATTACTTGTTATAAAATGTTATCAAAAAGCATATTGATACAGAATTGCTTTGATATATAAAACTTGCAATTTGATTAAGGATTAAGAAAAAAGACCCCCCAAAAATAAGAGATTAGACCTAAGAGGTGAAAGATTCAATTTATCTCCATCTTTAAGTTTATATTTAATCTTCTACTGTAACCATTTTAAAATCCTTGTGAAACTAAAAAAGTGAAAGGTCACTTACGTAAATAAATCAGGTTTTCTGTAAAAAAATATTCTTTATTATATTATACATTAAAACCAATGCTCTGCTACAGGAAAGGAGACAATGACAGCAGTGACAGTGATTCAGAAGGAAATGCCGAAAAGAAAAAGTTTCAGACACAGCTGAAAGGGGCCATTGTGATGGAGAAACCTAACATTAAGTGGGAAGACGTAGCAGGTCTGGATGGAGCCAAAGAGGCTTTAAAAGAGGCAGTCATGCTGCCCATTGAAGGTACATAAGTGAAGTGTGGATTCCCAGTAATACATATAAACCACTTCTACTAGTTTCTTAATACGACTCAAATAAATTCAACCTGCCGAAGGATAAACTGAATAAATCACTTGATCAGCCATAAAAGAGCTTTAGGCTGCTCCTTTCTTTAAAATTTAACCTACTTTCGTGACCTACTTTTCTGCCCCATTGATATACAGCATAGAATGCTAGCAGAAAAATTTATTCAAATATCATTTTTCGGGTAAAATTAAACAATCCCTTTTTGTAATTCTCTGAGTTATACTACTTGAAACTATATGCTGGATATTGGTTGGCTTTTGTGGCAAAAAATTGACTTCATATGCCTCTTTAAGTTTCCTCATCTTTTCACAGGTACAAGTAGGACATTATAAGATATATTAAGTGATTTTGGACAAATTCCTTGATTAGTTGACAGAAAGTACAAAAGCATTACTGTAATAGCTCTGTATACCAAATGACTGAAATAATGATCAAATACAATTTGAGCTTTTAACTCATTATTTATGCAGGCATGAATTGAGAGGCTAGTTTGCTGTCAGCAATTTCGTGATTTCTTAAAATTACAACAGAAATAGTTATTAGTTGAAAATGCCATTTAATTGACATTTGTACTTTGATTAATACACAAAGTACAAAATCAAAATACATACAGTTAAATATTATCATATGAATGATACTCATGTATGGTAAAATATTTACAAGTTTAAGATATAATTTTAAGTTTCAGCAAAGATGGGTCTATTTATTTCCAAAATGCTGAAAGATTCTTTATTTCTTATTGCATAGAAGTTTTTTTTAGTTGTTGGGGAATAAAGAATATAATAATTATATTATGTTACAGTAATTTTCATTAAAATTGCATAGTGAATCATAATGATCCACAATTAGTAATGTTTTTGAATATTCTATCGTAGGTAAAAGACAGCCACAGAGGGGTATATTATTGTATGGGGTGAGTCAAGTTACAGTATCTATAATTTCAAGTCTCAGTTCTTATTACTTTTAATTTCAGACATTAGTTAATATTTGAGTAAGGCTTGTGGAAAGTTTGAGTATAGATATTGGTCACACAAAAAGATGCAAGAAATAAGGTCATGATTGGGAAATTAATGAGAAAATAATAAGGTATGTAATTGACAATCATAATTATTATTGTTGTTGTTGTTGTTGTTGTTATTTACAGCCCCCAGGGACAGGGAAGTCTTACCTAGCCAAAGCAGTAGCCACAGAAGCCAATAACTCCACCTTTTTCTCAGTGTCTTCATTTGATTTGGTCTCAAAGTGGCTCGGAGAAAGTGAAAAGTAAGATGGTTGATTTCTCTTTAATTTCTATATTTGCATTCTTATAAAAAAAGTCTGTATAAATGATGCGTGAAAATTTTCAGAACAGACTGTTAGACAAAATTGAGCGTTGTGATGGAGTAGAATCCTTTAACATAATTTCCTTGAAAGCACACTCCTTTATGGTTCATTATGTATAATAATGATGGAATCTCTTTCAGATTAGTAAAGAATCTATTTGAGATGGCAAGAGAACACAAGCCGAGCATTATTTTCATAGATGATTTTGACTCCCTCTGCTCGTCCAGGAGTGATAACGAGTCTGAGTTGGCCAGGAGAATTAAGACAGAGTTTCTTGCACAAATGCAGGGTGGGTGATAAGTAGGCAGAATCTCCCAAGAGACAGTGTGGTTATTTTAAAAATAGGGTAATTAATGGTATACTTAGACAATCTACCTAGAGAGTAAGGGTAGTAGATTTGTTACAGATTCTTTGGTTTGCCCAAGAAAATTCTAAAAGACCATTTGAAGGTTTTGTTAAATGTCATCACATTGATCACAATTATATTTTAAGAAACTTTTAAGATTTTATTGCAAAAGAATCATTTCACCTACTAGTCATCTTCAATTTTTATAGTAGGCTTAGTTATGCATAGATAGGCCTTGCACGTAGCTCACGAAAGTTTCCTTGTTCAGCAATTCAAATTTTCCATTGGAGGAATGCACACAGTTTACTAACAGATGAGATCTGTTTCTGTCAGTTATTGAGAATGAAAATGTGAAAATTTACCTTAACATTTCAGGTGTTGGAAATGATAATGATGGAATTTTGGTGTTAGTAGCCACAAGTATTCCTTGGGTTCTTGACTCTGCTTTAAGGAGAAGGTAGGCAGTTACACACACACACAAACACACACATGCACACACACACGCATGCATGTGCGTGCACACACAGGCACATGCACTTGTAAACCAAACAACATCACTGCAAGTTAAGTTAAATAACTGCTTATTGAACTGCTTTTTGCCAGCTTTGAGAAAAGAATCTACATCCCACTCCCAGAAGCCCCTGCTCGAGCCACCATGTTTCAGTTGCATCTTAGAAACACCCCAAACTTTCTCACCCAAGGGGACTTCAGAGTACTAGGACTGAAGACTGAGGGGTAAGCTGTTAATCATGTGAACTGTGTGAGGCCATTCAAGTCATGCGAAACTAGGGAAATTTGAGCTCTATAAAATTATATACTGATTATTATTATTTCACTGTACATATATAAGGCCTTTTTACAATAACTTGATAATCATTCATTTCTATAATTGCACATTTCATTATATATCATCTTTGTCCTTTTCTAAGAATGACTTTTTGTGTACAGACACAGATGTGTCTGTACATATAGCCGTCATCTGTGTCGTCGCTGTCACTGTCGCCGTGCACTTTTACCGATAACACGATAGAGGAAAAATGTTTTACCTTTTGTCTTCAAACTTATGGAACTGATGAATATTAATAAAATACAGGTCAGGTTCGAAAAACAGCTTGATCAGGCCATTTTTAGAAAAGTTGTGCAGTTTTTTCCCCTTTTTATAGCATATATGCAACACTGATAACACATTTCAAAGAACACATTCCAAGGAAAACCAATAGGCCCCTTGTCTTGAAACTCACAGAAGTGATCAATCTTACTAAAATACAGGGCGAGGTTTGAAAACCAGCTTGATCTTATCATTTTTACAAAAGTTATGCACTTTTTTCCCTTTTTCTCTGCATAAAAAGCAACACATACATGTAATGACCATTAAAGGAAAAACAATGTCACTCTTCTCAAGCTTACAGGAAAGATACACAGGACTAAAAAGCAACCTGAGTGGGAAAAGCAGTCTTATTGGCTTTTTTTTTTTAATCTTTCACATATAGGCATTTTGAATGTGAGACTTAGAACTCCCATGGGTATGAAGCCGAGTGGTAATCAAATTTTCTAACATTTTATATTCCAAGCTGTCCCTCCATATCCAATCAATACATTTTTGAAAATCTACAGAAAGACAATAAAGACTTTCCCTTTGTTTTACTTGTCATTGTATGTTATATGAATATATTGTCTATAATGGTATAAGTTTTCCTAAAGCTTGCTAGAGACTAATTTATAATACTTTCTGATTCTCTCCATTTATTCAGTATTTTACATAAGATTTTAGCAAACATTTTATCCACAACAGTGTTATTCCTCTGTAATTATTGGGGTCGTCTCTGTCTCCAGACTTTAACAGTGTTACAATAACTCCCACAGACCATGGGGTTGAAAAATGACCAGTTTCAAAATTTTAATTAAACAAATCAACTAATAAAGTGTATTATTGTAATAATTAATGTACATCAGTGCAGTATTTATAGAACTCAAGAGGAATACCATCAGAGCCCACAGCTTTTCCAATCTTCATATCATTTACGCTTATCTGCACTTCGTTTAAAGTTATTTTCTTATTTATATCAAGATCTTCCTGGTCTTTGATTTGATGAATTTTCATACTCTTTTATTACCCATTACCAGGGCGACTGATAGAGTTTTTACAGATATTCACAGATATGTCTCTAGATAGATAGATGGTCATTTTGGTTCTAAGTGAGTTTTTGAAAGATTTTAATGATCTACGGACTTTGCTTTTTGCATCATAACAAACCCTATCAAACCATGTGTTTTCAGTTTTTTTTGGTAGCAGTAGTATCTCTAAACTGTGGAGTTCATCAGTTTGCACTCATATCAGTCGTGTGTATATGGACCTCATCTTCTTTGTCTTGTTGTTGCACAAAATCGACAAACACATTTTTCAAAGCAACTGCAACCGCCATTTTCTTTCTCTCTTATTACTGGGCATGCGTCCAGGTGTCAGAATCTCCTCCGAGCGCAACTGAGATTTAATTACAACTTTGGAAGTAACTCTCTCACTCTGCTAGTTAATTACGCCGCAGGGTATTCAGGGCACAGACAGTGATCACTAGATACAGCCAATGGATTTTTGGAATTTGGATTTTTCATGTGAATGGTGCCTAAAATTTTGCTATATTTGATTCTATTAGCATGTCAATTAACTTATCATCTGCATATAGGCTAGACCCTTTCAGCGATACATACATCAAACCAAACAATATGATTTCATTACCTTGTGTTGGACTCATTTTTAACCATAACAAGTTATCTGTATCTGTGATACCTTGTACTGGTGTAAACAGATATATATATAAAGGTCTAGTATCTACATATATTTTCAAATTATTTGTGCCACTTTTGAAACATCACAGTCTAAAAGTTTTCTAACCCAAAGAAGAAACCAGACTAAATGACCAGTAACTGAGGAAAATTACAAACTTTTTTTGGCCTGACTTTTTTTTTCTTTTTTACAGGCATTTGGCATAGAGCCAGTATCAATGTTGCACACTGGCTTACTTTTGCTCTGCTAATATCTGTATACTATTGTTTGATTTTAGCTACACTGGAGCAGATATCAGTGTAGTAGTAAGAGACGCACTCATGCAGTCAATGAGGAAAGTACAGAATGCTACACATTTCAAAAGGGTGAGAGCAATGTGAAGTATAATCTTCTACCTTTTTGTTTTGATCCCCGTTTATTGTAGAAACCAAGATAAAAATGAAAATGAAACTTAAAGTGAAAACACATTGTACTCCAAACTGTTTCCATTAGTGTAGTCATTAGAAGACACAGACCCCACAGGTTTCTTTTCCCCTCCCCATAAAAATTAGAAGACTGAAAGTAAATCTTAAAGTAATTTAAAAAATATGTTATGAGTTATTTACCCAAGAACACTTGTTGCAAGAAACAAAGCATGTCACAAGAGTCTCAAATGAAATGTCTTTTAAAGAGATGCTTACAGTTCATTTGGCTGTCAAACAGTGTGCTTATTTCACATCTTCAGGTAAGAGGACCATCACGGGATAACCCAGATGTCATAGTCAGTGACCTCTTAACCCCTTGCTCCCCGGATGACCCTCAGGCTATGGAAATGAACTGGATGGATGTGCCTGGAGATAAATTTTTTGAACCTGTTGTTTCTATGGTAAGTTTGGAGGAGAAGTTTGTGTCAGGCCTTTGTCACAGCTATGGATATAATGATTGTTAAAGTTAAAATGTACAGAAATAGCATGAAACTATCACACTGCATCTGTGGTAAGTATTGGGTCTGTCTTTTGTAAACTCCCAGTTTTATGTACAGCATAAGACAGGATAAAGCAAACTCTCAGTTTAATGTCAGGTATATGTTTAAAAGCCTTTAGCTAGAAATCAATAAGATCAACATTCTGGAGATAAAAACATATATGTACCTAATGTAGCTGTGGTGGGTATATGATATTTTGTCCTGTTTTTCAATTCCTGCCACTGCTGCTTCTGTTTTCCAGAGTGATATGCTGATGTCTCTTGGGATGACGAAGCCCACTGTTAATAAGGCTGATCTGGACGAAATGCAAAGATTCACCGACGACTTTAGATCAGAGGGATAGTTACCCTATCTCCCAATGAGGATGAATATGAAGATTCTTCTGATAAATTTAGATAAAATTTGATTTTGATCATGATTGTATATCTCTTTGTAATGGTTTTTATGATTTTTGTCTTTGTTTATGATTTGAAGAAACAAGCTACAAGTTTTTCTACCAGCATGACTCCAAAGATTTTGGAAATTTTGGATTATAAATAGTTACCCCGATGACATTTTTGAACAGTTTTTATGTGAATAGTTGACATATTCATGTCCTTTTTTCATCTGCTGGCAGTTTGGAAGATTAAAGGAAATTGTGATTTTAAGATACTAGAACTCCTGCTGCAATGACTGTTATGTGATAATATATATATAATTTCTCCAGAAACTGGATTTATTTATGTTTTATAACCATATTTTTTGTTTTGCTATTTTTACAACATATTAACCATAATTTGATCAGAAATAGTATATCTTTTTCAAATTGATATTTGCAGTACAGACACATGTTACACAAGTCAAAAGATAGTGAAAAAATTATCAAATCTTGTATAATAAATTTCAAAACTTAAAACCTTACTCTTTACACATTGCAAAATGTACTCAAGGTGATATTTTTTGCAGAATTTTACCCAATCTTTTCTAAGACTTTTGCATTAGTGCATAAAAGCTTTTTGTTGTCTCTTTTTAAAATAATTCCAAAATCAGGCCTACCCAACTACCAGACTCGGCACATAAGGATCCTGAATTAACCAGTATATCGGACCANATGATTTCATTACCTTGTGTTGGACTCATTTTTAACCATAACAAGTTATCTGTATCTATGATACCTTGTACTGGTGTAAACAGATATATATAAAGGTCTAGTATCTACATATATTTTCAAATTATTTGTGCCACTTTTGAAACATCACAGTCTAAAAGTTTTCTAACCCAAAGAAGAAACCAGACTAAATGACCAGTAACTGAGGAAAATTACAAACTTTTTTTGGCCTGACTTTTTTTTTTCTTTTTTACAGGCATTTGGCATAGAGCCAGTATCAATGTTGCACACTGGCTTACTTTTGCTCTGCTAATATCTATATACTATTGTTTGATTTTAGCTACACTGGAGCAGATATCAGTGTAGTAGTAAGAGACGCACTCATGCAGTCAGTGAGGAAAGTACAGAATGCTACACATTTCAAAAGGGTGAGAGCAATGTGAAGTATAATCTTCTACCTTTTTGTTTTGATCCCCATTTATTGTAGAAACCAAGATAAAAATGAAAATGAAACTTAAAGTGAAAACACATTGTAGTCCAAACTGTTTCCATTAGTGTATTCATTAGAAGACACAGACCCCACAGGTTTCTTTTCCCCTCCCCATAAAAATGAGAAGACTGAAAGTAAATCTGAAAGTAATTTAAAAATATGTGAGGAATTATTTAGTACCCAAGAACACTTGTTGCAAGAAACAAAGCATGTCACAAGAGTCTCAAATGAAATGTCTTTTAAAGAGATGCTTACAGTTCAATTGGCTGTCAAACAGTGTGCTTATTTCACATCTTCAGGTAAGAGGACCATCACGGGATAACCCAGATGTCATAGTCAGTGACCTCTTAACCCCTTGCTCCCCGGATGACCCTCAGGCTATGGAAATGAACTGGATGGATGTGCCTGGAGATAAATTTTTTGAACCTGTTGTTTCTATGGTAAGTTTGGAGGAGAAGTTTGTGTCAGGCCTTTGTCACAGCTATGTATATAATGATTGTTAAAGTTAAAATGTACAGAAATAGCATGAAACTATCACACTGCATCTGTGGTAAGTATTGGGTCTGTCTTTTGTAAACTCCCAGTTTTATGTACAGCATAAGACAGGATAAAGCAAACTCTCAGTTTAATGTCAGGTATATGTTTAAAAGCCTTTAGCTAGAAATCAATAAGATCAACATTCTGGAGATAAAAACATATATGTACCTTATGTAGCTGTGGTGGGTATATGATATTTTGTCCTGTTTTTCAATTCCTGCCACTGCTGCTTCTGTTTTCCAGAGTGATATGCTGATGTCTCTTGGGATGACGAAGCCCACTGTTAATAAGGCTGATCTGGACGAAATGCAAAGATTCACCGACGACTTTGGATCAGAGGGATAGTTACCCTATCTCCCAATGAGGATGAATATGAAGATTCTTCTGATAAACTTAGATAAAATTTGATTTTGATCATGATTGTATATCTCTTTGTAATGGTTTTTATGATTTTTGTCTTTGTTTATGATTTGAAGAAACAAGCTACAAGTTTTTCTACCAGCATGACTCCAAAGATTTTGGGAATTTTGGATTATAAATAGTTACCCCGATGACATTTTTGAACAGTTTTTATGTGAATAGTTGACATATTCATGTCATTTTTTCATCTGCTGGCAATTTGGAAGATTAAAGGAAATTTGTGGTTTTAAGATACAAGAACTCCTGCTGCAATGGCTGTTATGTGATAATATATATATAATTTCTCCAGAAACTGGATTTATTTATGTTTTATAACCATATTTTTTGTTTTGCTATTTTTACAACATGTTAACCATAATTTGATCAGAAATAGTATATCATTTTCAAATTGATATTTGCAGGACAGAAAAAATTATCAAACCTTGTATAATAAATTTCAAAACTTAAAACCTTACTCTTTACACATTGCAAAATGTATTCAAGGTGATATTTTTTGCAGAATTTTACCCAATCTTTTCTAAGACTTTTGCATTAGTGCATAAAAGCTTTTTGTTCTCTTTTTAAAATAATTCCAAAATCAGGCCTACCCAACTACCAGACTCGGCACCTAAGGATCCTGAATTAACCAGTATATCGGACCACGTACACTACCCGTTTTCAAGGTGTGTGTCAGATCTGTGAATAGCTGCAAAGCTAATGTTTCCCGACGCGAAATAAATCTATTGTATTGTTTCCTTTACATTGCATGGTTTAAAATGAGAATTAGTGTTTATTCGTAACCCTTTCCCCCTACCAATGATTTTTCACCCAGAATCCATCTAACTTCCCTCTTGCTTGCTACTAAATTAAAAGAATCTTTGTTGTTGATAAAAAAATTGGTTCTAAACATTTTCGTGTTTTGTATATATATTTTGAAGAATGTTATAAATGTGACAGATGCATACAATGTAAAAAAAAATTGAAAATTAGCACGACTGAGCCTATATAGTCGAAGATTTAAAAGTGATGTGAAAACTAGCCTCTTGCAGGGAGTTCAAACAACTCCTTTTAATTAATGAATTAAATTTGGGAAATATTCCAGACAAAATTTGTATTACATGCTTTAGTGGTGACCATATAATTATAGAAACAAAGGTTCAAAGTCGTTTTTACATATTCTTTCACATTTCAACAACTATAGTAAAAAATGGACAAAATGCCTTAAAATGATATTGCATGTCACTGTTGTCAAGATGGCATTTTACTTTTTTTTTCACCCACCAGAGTGATGCACTTAATTCTCTCACATGTTCAAAGCCTACTGACTGTGAATGAAGAAGACCTACAGAAACTCCTGTATCTTCTTTTTCAATGGTTCCAGTTTGTATTTTGCAATGTTGCATTAATTTTACAATATTGGTGGAGGCAGTGCTTCTCTTATACACCTTTTGTTAACATTTTTTTTTTTCATTTTTTAGATAGTGTGATGGAAGTTGCAGTGAGATTTTTGTTAGTGAGTGAAATATTTTTGTATATTTGCTCTGTGATATTTGATATCATGATTTTATTAAGGAATTCTATATCAGATGAACTGAAACAAAGAAACAAGATTTTCCTGTGCAAAGAACATTTTATGTGGTCAGCCTTATTTAGTCATTTTATCTGTCAGAATATGTAGAAAATTAGATTGGGATATGTGCCGACTAGGAAGAAGTAAAATCCTTATAACTAATTAAAATGTATACATGTACTGTCCTAAATAAGTTTGATGATTTCAGCATAATCATGTCAGACATTGAAGAAAGAGGTTCATAAATTTATGTAATCATTATTAACAATTAACTGCACAGTGCATGTTATTTTATTTGAATTTTTTATGGCAATATCCATTTTGGCCAAAAGATGTATCAAGTGTAAGCAAATAAAAAGCTGTATGTGCATGAATATGAAGATAATGTAAATAAGTAAATGTCATGATAGCGAAGAGGATTTATTGCAAAATGATTGTTAATAGAGGAGTATATTCACCACACTGCAGATTAATAATATTTTACGTTTTACTGCAAGATCAATTATTTATTGAAAGAGAATAAATGTTGCTTACAGAGAGACTTTTTCTGATAGTCATTTTGCTGAACATATTTTATTTTTAAACTAGTGGACATCTCTGCCAAACCTGTAAATAAATTTATAATAACAATTAAACAGCAACATCTTTAAATCAATTGCAGGCATGTCAAAGAAAATTTTTGAAATATTTAAATAATCCATCTTATAGAGAACAATGTTTTAAGGAATCTTTTACACCACCTTGTTATCATACAAAGCTAATGCTAGATTAAATGCAATGTTTAGAAAATCTGCAACTAAACTGCATGGCTTCCTGAAATATTGTATAGATAGTTGTTCAGTTGGTGGTACACACACCCAGGTGCAGTATAGATCTCACTTTATCAACAAGGTCTCCTTTCTTGTCTTTAGTTTTGCAGGGTATGCCTCTTTCTTTCAACCAAGCCACAATTGTCACTGTGTTCACTTTACCCAGCTAAAATGAAAAGTTGTTAAATTTCATTTATTTCCATTTTTATTAAAATTAATTTAAAATAATTTTAATTGAAATGAAATATTGAAAGAAATTGTGCTTTTCATAAGGTTAAACCAACATCAGATATTTTTCNTTATTATTACTGTTTGATTGATGTATATGAATTGTATGGTTTATTGATATTCATGTAGCAGGGGCGGATCCAGAGATTTTTCTGACAGTCTCCCAAATTATCTTTGTTACCATCCTCCATTTTTGACCGTCTACCGACAGAAAAAAATAGATACCTATCAATGTAAACTTGGAAAATCTGACCGTCTTCCAGAAGACCCAGAAGACGGCCTAAATCCGCCCCTGTGTAGTATTGTATAAAAGCTATATTCACAGCTCTCCCAGCATCCTCTCTATTATCTTCCAGGCTGTGACAGACAACCAGATGTTAATTGTGATTGGAGAGACGGGGTCAGGGAAGACGACCCAGATCACGCAGTACTTGGCAGAGGCTGGTTACACCACCATGGGGAAGATTGGTTGTACACAGCCCAGGAGAGTAGCTGCTATGTCTGTAGCTAAGAGAGTCTCAGAGGAGTTTGGTTGTAGACTAGGACAAGAGGTGAGACACACTGGGGTATTATTAGTATTATTATTATTATTATTATTATTATTATTATTATTATTACTGCATAGCAGGTGAGGGAGTTACAATCCAAGTTCTCAATGGTGTCATTTGTATCTCAATAATTATTTCCTAGATTGTGGAGCAAAAAGTATGCTATTCTCCTAGTGTAATTATAACAGCCCAGGATTTCCTTTCTGTTGAGACATAAAATAAACAAAGTATCCTTATCCCCCCAGGTTGGTTATACCATCCGTTTTGAAGACTGTACCAGTCCTGAGACCAAGATCAAGTACATGACAGACGGTATGATGCTAAGAGAGTGTCTGATAGACCCTGATCTCTCCCAGTACTCTATTATCATGTTGGATGAGGCCCACGAGAGAACCATCCACACAGATGTGCTGTTTGGGTTGCTGAAGAGGGTATGTTAGAATACACACGCATGCGCACGCACAAACACACACACACACACATACACACACACACACACACATACACACACACACACTGTCACGAGAGAACTATCCAAACAGACATGCTGTTTGGGCTGCTGAAGAGGGTATGTTGACTACACACACATGCACGCACACACACACACACACACACACACACACACACACACACACACACGTTGTATTATTCAGATGTGTTTATACATTTCATAAAGTATAAGATATTAGTCTGGTAGATATAGTTCACTTTGTAGTCTAGTCTAAAGAGAAATATTCACATGTGTTTATACATCTCTCATCAGTTTAAGATATTAATCTGGTTGATGTGTTTCTATATGCAGGCTGTACTGAAGAGAAAAGAGCTAAAGTTGATCGTCACCTCGGCCACTCTAGATGCTGTCAAGTTTTCTTCTTATTTCTTTGAAGCTGTAAGTATACATGTTATTGTAAAATTGATATTTTATCATGAATCAAAGATTTTTTCAACTCAAATATTGAAGTACACTTAAAAATTAACTGCTGTTTTGTTTTCTTTATAAACAAGAAGCAAAGCATATCAGGTGAAAATTATTGGTTTTATTTGAAATATCATTCTGAATGGAATTTTCACAAAATTTCGAAATGATAGAGAATTTCTTGGATCTGCATATACATTTTGTCTCTGTACATTAAAGGTGACAGAGTTGAGTTCTGAATGTTGACACAATCTGTACGTTTGCCAGATTTGCTGCCTAGTGGATGTTAATAATAAGTCTGTATATCAACTAGACATTCACTGCTATCATTACAGCCTATCTTCACCATCCCTGGTCGTTCCTTCCCTGTGGAGACGCTGTACACTAAGGAGGCAGAGACGGATTACCTGGATGCCTCCATGATCACCGTGATGCAGATCCACCTGACAGAGCCGCCCGGAGACATTCTGCTGTTCCTGACGGGACAAGAAGAGATTGACTCCGCGTGTGAGATCCTGTATGAGAGGATGAAGGCCCTGGGGCCTGAGGTCCCAGAGCTGATTATACTCCCTGTGTACTCCGCACTGCCCAGTGAGATGCAGACCAGGATATTTGAGCCTGCTCCACCAGGATCTAGAAAGGTAGAGAATTCATAGACATCAGAGTATTAATAGAGCTTAGATTCATGTTTGGTCAAACTAGGATATTTAAGCCTGCTCCACTGGGATCTAGAAAGATATAGATTTCACATACACTAGGGTTATAAAAAAGCTTAGATTAATATATCCTCAGACTACATCAAAACCATGTGTTGTGTGTAAAGTGTAGGATAGATATGGGTTGGTGTCTTTACCCTTGTTAGGAGGCTGTATCCTCATGATATATTAATAGTGGTGAATTAAATACTTGATTGATAAAAACTGTCAGTGATCATAGTGTGGTGCCCCCTATAACTCTGTTTGTGTCCTTCAGGTTGTCATAGCCACCAACATAGCAGAGACGTCCCTGACCATAGATGGCATCTACTACGTGGTGGATCCTGGCTTTGTGAAACAGAAAGTCTACAACTCCAAGACAGGCATGGACCAGCTGATAGTGACCCCTATATCTCAGGCACAGGCCAAGCAGCGTGCAGGTAGAGCAGGGCGTACGGGGCCTGGGAAGTGTTACCGTCTGTATACAGAGAGGGCGTACAGGGACGAGATGTTGCCCACACAGGTGCCAGAGATACAGAGAACTAACTTGGCCAGTACGGTGCTGTCACTGAAGGCCATGGGGATCAATGACTTACTGGCCTTTGACTTCATGGACCCGCCCCCCATGCAGACGTTGATCTCCGCCATGGAGCAGCTCCATGCTCTCTCCGCGCTGGATGATGAGGGTCTGCTCACCAGACTGGGGCGACGGGTACGTATATACGCACACGCACATGCACACACACACACACACACACTGGGGCAACGGGTACATATATACGCACGCACACACACACACACACACACACACACACACACACACACACACACTGGGGCAACGACACACATGCACAGCAGGAACTTGTCTCCATTCAGATGCAACTTATATTTGGAGTTTAAGCTTAATGTATTTATTTGTGTTTATCCCCCAAAGGCCAATTTCAAAGCAAATCAATATGCCACGAGGTAGTGTTAAACTTGATGTCTCTCTTAGTTTTTGTGTATCAAATATTGAATTCAACCATAGTAATGTATTTGTTAATGTTCATTTCCAGTCTTTAAGATAAACAATGAAACACTTGAGAAAACATCAATAAATACAGACTGCAAACTTGGATAATTTCTTATATCTGTGTTCTAGATCATGGCAGAATTTCCAATGGAACCCATGTTGTCTAAGATGTTAATTATGTCTGTTCACCTGGGATGTAGTGATAATTTCTTATATCTATGTTCTAGATGGCAGAGTTTCCAATGGAACCCATGTTGTCTAAGATGTTAATTATGTCTGTTCACCTGGGATGTAGTGATGAGATCCTTACCATAGTCTCCATGTTATATGTACAGAATGTATTCTATAGACCCAAGGTAGGCAGAACTCTGGCAGCTTAAATACTGTACATTTCCTAAACCATGAATATTATATGTACAGAATGTATTCTACAGACCCAAAGTAGGCAGAACTCTGGCTACTTAAACACTGTACATTTCCTATACCATGAATATTATATGTACAGAATGTATTCTACAGACCCAAGGTAGGCAGAACTCTGGCT